AAAAAAATAATCAATTGAGTAAACAGAAAACATACAGTATGGGAGAAAATATTTGCAAATTATACATCTAACAAAAGGACTAATATCCAGAATGTACAAGAAAAGTAAATCAGCAAGGAAAAATATACCCCATTAAAAAGTGGGCAAATGTCATGAACAGATATCTTTCAAAAGAAGATGGCTAACAAATATGTGGGAAAATGCTCAACATCACTAATCCTCAGGGAAATGCAAATTAAAACCATAAGCAGGGTACCATCTTGCCCCTGTGTGGATACAGTGAAAAGGGTAAGTGTATGTACCGTTGATGGGAAGGTAAATTAGTACAACTTCTATGGAAAACAGTATGAAGATTCCTCAAAGAACTGACAGTAGATCTGCCATTCAATCTAGCAACCTCACTGCTGGACCTACCCAAAGGAAGAGAAGTCATATCAAAAAGACACGCACTTGTGTGTTTATCGTAGCACAGTTCACAATTATGAAGATACGGAATCAATCTAAGTGCCCAACAACTGATGAACAGACAAAGAAAATGTTATATATGAGACATAAAAAAGAATGAAGTCATGTCTTTCACAGCAACTTGGATGGAACTGGAAGCCGTAGTCCTAAAGTGAAATGTCTCAAATGTGAGCTAAGTAGTGGGTCTACATGAATATAGAGTGGGATAACGGACTTGGAGACTCAGAAAGCGAGAGGCTGGGAAGAGGTTGGGAAGGATCAAATATTACCTATTTGGCATAATGTTCATATTCAAGTGACAGGTACACTAAAAGGCCCAACTTTACCACTGTGCAATTCATCCATATACAAAAACCACTTGTTATTTTATTGAAATAAAAAAAATTTACTGTGGGACTAATTCCTGAATCACTCAATATAGGGCTTTGTCAACCAATCATTAGCTGATAGACACAATATTCTTGAGTAGCAATAATACTGATAGTTAAAAAGCAATAAAAGTCCCATATTTTGTGAGTGTAATTGTTTTAGGAAGTGTTTAAAGAGACTCACATGTACTAGTTGGTCTAATTCTCATCATAGCCTTCTGAGGTAGTATCTTAGGTTGGGTTCCCAAGGACAGATGTGAGACAGGAATTCAGGTGGCCAGGATTTACTGAAGGGGTGTTCTTCAGAGAAAACCTATCAGGGAGTGAGTGCATGGAGTAAGTGCCAGGCAAGGATGTGGTCTCAGGTAAAGCCTAACACTGGTTTGATCCAAGGAAGATTCTAGAGTATAAATCCCATTGCCAAGCTGTCCCACCTGGAGGCAAGAGTACCAGCCTTTGTACACCTGTGTAAATCAGTCACTGACTGTGGGCTGCCCTCTCTGGGCATAGAGTCTGAGTGCATAGACTGCCTAACTCCAACTCTCTGGGAAAGGGGGCATCTGTGAGCCAAGAGCAGTGCTTGGGGAATGGATGAGGGTACCAACAGCACCCATTCCAGGGTGGTACCTACTATTGCCCCATTTTACACCAAAAAGAGGTGGACCCATTCTGACTAGGGACACTGACCCACTGGAGGCTGGATATCCTCAGTGCAATGGCCCAAGGTGACCTTATGATTATGTGATCTTCTCCTGCAGGTCTCAGCAGCTTGATGCAGGTGGAGAGAAGGAGCCAGCTGGACAGAACAGTTGGCTGGGGTTTGATAAGTGGGCATCATGGGTGAGGCAATCGTGGTGTTGGAGAGAGAGCAGTTCCAGTGCTGGACCATGAAGTCAGAGCCAGGTGGGAGCAGGGAGGAAGGCAAAAGGGTCCACAGAGAAGACAAGTAGAGGGCTCAAGGGATGAGGGTTCAGTGAGGCTAAAAACAGGTGTAGCAGGCACCACAGAGGGCTTGGAGCAGGTGCCTGGTGGCCAGTCTGCTGACTGAGGGAAACCTGAACCCGAAAGTAACTGGGCGAACAATGTCACCTTGAATTGTCAGGATTGCGGAGAACAGGTTTCTCTTAATGTATGTGTTTTCTTGAGAAAGTGGTTGCCCATGATAATTCTGGATGCCAGAATTCAATAAAGATGTTAATTTGTTCACAAGTTAATAGGATGCAGTAAATCATGATTCCAACAGGAAAATGACAAAAAGATTCTAAACTTGGTATGGCATGTTTACACACTTTAACTGGAATGACAGATCTGAAGGAAAGCGAAGAACTTTCAGTAAAAACAATTTATTTATTAAAATATATTGTAAAGCTACCGAAATTAAGGCAGAGTGCTAGCAGTTCCAATCTGCGTAGAAATACTGATAAAAACAGAGCCAAGGATTGATGAGGATTTAGTATACTATAAAGTTAGCATGTTGAATTAGTAGAGAAAGAACACATTATTTGTAAAGTTGATTTTGGATACCTATTTAGGAAGGAAAATCTATGTGAGTTATATAAAAAGTACCAAGTATTTAAGTATAAAAATAGAACCATAAGGGAGCTAGAAGAAAATAGAGATGGATATATACTTTTACACTGGGGAAAGATTTTGAGCACACATTGAGGATGGAATCATAACAGAAAGGATTTATAAATTTTGCCTTTAAAAACCCTTTTTTATAGGGAAAAAAGCATTTATAATATATATGCCAGAAAAGGGTTATTTTGATATACAAAGGAGTCTTACAAATCCTTAAGAAAAAAAGATAAAAATCCTAATAAAGAAATTGACTAAGGACATGAGTAAGCAATTCACAAAAGAAGCATCAAGAACTTCTTATACAGAATATTCAAAAGATAGAAATTAATGCCTGTAAGAAAGAAATGTAAATTCTACTAGTTTTAATTGTCAAATAATCAAAAACAATCTTGGAAAAATATGAGAAAAAGGGCTATCAATTGCTATAATTTTTGGAGGAAAAACTTGACTGTATCCTCACAAATATGTGAATACTTAGACTCCGTACTCCCATTTATGGGCATTGATTCTAAGGAAGGATTAAGAATTAAGAATGTCAACATAGACATAGTTATACTATTGTTTATCTCAGTACCATTTATAACAGTAAAGAGCTGGAGATAATTGTAAATGTCCAATGTAATAGAAGATTGGGTAAGTAAACCATAGTATATTCCATACACAGAATATTTTGCAGCCAGTAACTACTACATAGCAACTTGTAGTAGGATATTAAGTTGAAAGTTTAACTGGGGCACTGAGATCAAATAGGTGTAGAATTTCAAAGTTAGACGCCCACCCAAGATGTAGATTTTTAAGGGAAATAATGAAATCCTGTTTTATGAAACTCAATTCCCTTTACCCACAAATAGGATACAAGTGGATCCTATTTGGTAAATGGATCAAGGAAGAGGAGAAAGAGAGGGGACTCTGAAGGAGGACTTCTCAGGACAGAGGGTCAGGTGGCGCTGTGCTTTCCCATTACCCCCATCTTAGAGGGAAGGGCAGGAGTGGGACCCCAGGAACAGCACACTTCCCTAAAGCTGGGAGCTGTGACTGAGGTCTGAGAAAATCTATGAGCAAGAGCCTGGGGCCGGCCAATGCCCTGAGGGCCGAGGAAAAGAAAGCCGGGCTGCTCTGTGGGGACTGGCCCACGGAGTCAGAGTTTGGAGTTCTCAGAGTTCTCAGAGTTAGTTGGGAGTTCTTTGAGGTCTGCCAAGAGGATCTCTTAGGAGGGCAGTTAGATCCCAAAAGAGAGGGTCTGCGTGGGCTAGCCTGCTGGAAAACCAGGGGCTGGGGGAAACTGAGCAAGTGGAGAACAAGCTTCATGCCCCACTTCATGGACGCGCAGGTGCATATTCCCAGGGGGGCTGCCGAGGGACCCACGAGAGTGACCCCAGGGAAAGACTTGGATTCAGTTTTAAACATGTGCCAGGCCCACAGAGCTGAAGCCATCTTATAACACTGTCAGTTGGGTAAGGATTTTTCTTGTTCTCTGTCTCATTCTGTGGCCACTGAGTCCCCAGGCAGGGTCAGGAACAGCAACTTACACTAACTGGGGGTGTAAGGAGCTCTGAAGGGGAAGAAAGTGCAGCCTCAATGTGGACATGCTCATTGGGTATTAAACTGCGGGTCCTAATTTCTGAATCAATGTTATGTTATGGGACCCACCATGACCATAAGATTTTTTTCTCCCGTTGCAGAGGAAGGACTGTCCCTGTGAGTGAATGTGAGACGAGCTGTGTACGATGGCCTCAATCCATTCTTGTTCACCACTGTTGACCCACATGAGCATCCCTAAGATGCTGGAAGGAAATAAAATGACATGTTCACACGGGACGTTCCCGGGGGGGGGGGTTATAGTGTGTTTTATGTTCTTTTTACCAAAAAATATTATTGGTAATATATGTGGCTTTTACCACCGCAGAATTCACTCAAAGAAACTTCCCTGGGAGGCACATGCCTAACCTTTTAGTTTGCGCTGTAACCCTGAATGGCAGTAGTAGCCAACACAGGTCTATTGACAAATCAGAGAAATGAAGTTCATTTCTCTGAATTTACCCAGAGTCACACAGCTGGTCAGTGGTGAAGCCAGGACAGGAGCCCAGCGAGTGTGACATCCAGATTGAGGAGTGACTTTTTCTTTAGGCTGGGCTGCTCTTGGCCAATGCCCACTGCTGAGAAAGGAGCAAGTTGGGGTGTGCTGTTGTCCTACTCTCCCTCCCTCTCTCGAGGATGGGCACTATTTGCAAGCTGGGCACTGGGGTTGGGGCCTGCGGCCAGGATCCAGACCACACCTGAGACCTCGACCTTGCAGAGACTTACCCAGATGTCTCTTCTTCTCTCCCCATTTCCCTTCTTTTCCATGAACACCTTGCCTTTTCCAGGGGGACCGGGAAGGCTGAAGCCCATGTTGTGCCGCAGTGCTCTAGCCCACAGGCACTACTCCCAAACAGGTCATTTGTGCTGCAGCCAGACCGTAGATATACTTGGAGGTTCTATTCTTTATCAGCTCAGCTCAGCATTTTTCTGGAGTCAAGCACTTTGGCACCAGACTTTTGTTTTTTCTCACCCAATAAACATAATTTGAGTACTACCTTCCATATTTCCTCAAATCTAAGATGCCATCGACTATAAGATGTTTACTGCTTTTGGAGATAATAAATGACTTTTTAAAGACTGGCCTGCGGAGATTGTAAGATACTGTTGATTGAAAGAAAAAACTCAGCCCCATTTCAGAAATGTTTAGAGGAGAGAAACTCTATCCTAGAAGTGAAAACACACAGGCGAGGCTGACCTCTCGGAAGCAGTGCAAACACCGGGGTTGGGCATTTTGATTGTCACTCTTGCTGCAGACACAGTGGGTGCAAAGTGACACAATTCCAGATGGCTGAATTATGGGGTCTTGGGGCTAGGGCTAGATGTCCTGATCTTTGTTTGATCCCCCAGTAAAAGCTTAGGCCCTGGAGCTCGTGTGGGTTCCCTGGTGCCAGGGTGCGCGGAGGCTGTGTGCGGAGGCTGTGTGCGGAGGCTGTGCACGGAGGCTGTGTGCGGAGGCTGTGCACAGCCCACATCATCGGCGCAGTGGCCCTCCCTTTTCTCTTGCCCTGCACTTGAGAAATGAAGCAGTTGGCACCTGGAATCACTGTCATCAGCAGCACGCCGAGGCGAGGCACTTATTTAAGGTCACACATGCCCACTTTCTCAAGTTACTGCTAAATACTGCGTCTTTATTTTGTCTCTGCTTTGAATTTCTTTTTCGGGTGCGTCAGTGGGAGGTAGTAAAAAGACCACACTGACAGCAATCAGGACAGACTAGGCCACAGTCCTCTGGAAATGCCATTTTGCTCCTCCTGGGCATTTGATTTGTACAATATATGACTTTATTGTACAAATAGTCCCATTTAGGAAAAAATGAGACATTGAAACACACATACATCTCTCCATAATGACTAGATCAGTAGTTCCGTCTAGTCAGACAGAAACTCAGTGAGGACACGGAAGAACTGAACAGCTTCCTCAACCAACAAGATCTGATTGACATCTGCAGGGCACTCCACTCAAGAACAGCAGGACGCACACTCTTTTCAAGCGTTCACTCAGCATATACCAAGATAGCCCACATTCCAGGCCATTAAACACATTGCAACAAATTTATGTTTTGTTTGGAGGCAGAGTCACTTGGTTGCTGTTAAAGTGCCATGGCGTCACAGCTCACAGCAACCTCAAGCTCTTGGGCTCAAGCAATCCTCTTGCCTCAGCCTCCTAAGCAGCTGGGACTACAGGCGCCCACCAGAACACTTGGCTATATTTTTTCTATTTTTAGTAAAGACAAGGTCTCACTTTTGCTCAGGCTGGTCTTAAACTCCTGAGCTCAAGGGATCCACCCACTTTGGCTTCCCAAAGTGCTAGGATTACAGGCATAAGCCACCGTGCCGGGCACATCTCAATAAATTTAAAAGAACTGAAATCATACAGAATATATTCTCTGATCATATGGGAATCAAACCAGAAATCAATAAAACAATTATGTAAGAACATACTTCTCTAAATGAGTGCCTTCCCTGATCACATGGTACCTTTAGAGTGTAGTCATTAAAAAAACATTTTTTGAGTATTTACTATAAACTGAGCCCTGAGCTCAGTGCTGGGAATCCATGATGATTAAAACACAAGCTTCTCCCACGGGAAGTGGACCAAGTGTGAAGGATGCCGTTACAGTACTCATGGTGGTGTGCATACACCAGGGGCCGTATGAGTTATGAGGCCAGTTCCCCAGGGACCGTTCAATAGGATGGAGCAATTAAAGTGGCAGGAAGGCTCCTGGGTGGAGGACATATCCGGGATTGCAGGTTAGCAGCTTGGCCTGATGCTGGACAAAGATGGTTTATTTGGAGAGCAAGGTTTTCCCCAAGCCTTTGATTCTGAGTGGCATTAGGGGTGAGCGTCCTCCCTGTTGGCTGTGTCTGGTCTGGCTGACACACGTTTGAGTCTGTGTCCCCCTCCCTGCTTTCCAGTGCTACAGGACGTTGTCTCTGGGAATTGTTTCTGGAACTCATTTAGGGGTCACACTGAGAGCCTCGTTTGTCTCCCTTATCCTTTCCTTTTTTATCTTTTGTGGTTGACCCAGTTGTTGATGGCCCACTGAAACCTAACCCACCCTCAAAGCATGCAGATTTCTTCCCATCAGGATGCCCAGGACAGTGAGCAGCAGGCTGTGCGAGATTCTCAGAGAGGCTGCCTATGTTCTCATGACTGCAGCACTGGGGGTGTACATGCCCAGATCCCCCAGAGGAACTCCTAGCAAGGGAGCAAAGCCCAGGCTATGGTAGACCCAACAGACACTTGCTGTGTGACTAACGGATGTCTGGCTATGTGGCTTCTACCAATTGATTGGAATGATAGAGTCGAAATATTGCAAACCTAAGAACAATTACTACCTCTCAGGTCACAAATGCTACCAGGGTGGGGCCCTCTGAGGCTGTCTAATTCAGGGGTTGCAAATGTCAATGCCCTCAAGGCCAAGGAGTAGAATGGTTGAAAGAATCAGGGTGTGTGTGATGTAACAGGGGCTAGTGGGGTGTGTGGCACACTGAAGAGTACCTGGTCTCCTGAAACGTGCTCCTTGTCACTCTGGCTCACCCTCAAGTTAGTAGAGACTGCTGGTATCCCTCCTTCCCTTGCAGATGAGAATCCCAGGCAGAGAAGCAAGATGACCAGCTAGTTAGTGCTGTAGCCAGGAATTGAACCTGGTTCCTGAGTGTGAGCTCACAACCAGTGCTCCAGCTAAGGGCCTTGCATTTTCAAAATTTCTGGAAACCCCATGAAGGCAAAACAAATCATGTCTGCAGCCCTGTTCTGGCCCTTAAGCTGTGAGTTTGCAACTCTGGATATTCCAAGTCCTTTGTATCAGGCAAGAAAGCCTCAGAAGAGCAAGACCTTGCTAGTTAATGAGATGTGCAGGAGAGAACACAGATTGACCCCTCCCCATGCAGCAGCTCTGCTCAAACGCCACCCAGCCACCTCCCGCCCTGCAGGGAAGAAATGGCACCGGCAGGAGCACAGGCAGCTTACCCTTGCCCAGTCCTGAGATGGCATCGGTGATCACCACCACTTTGTTCTGCACGGCTGACTTTGACCACAGCCGGGACACCTCTTGATAAATGAAGAGGAGGCCGCTGATTCCCAGGAGGAGCAGAGGCAGCATCAGCATAGCCATGACGCTCATCTTGCTCTGGGGGGAAGCGGGGGTGAGAAAAGATTGTCTTTGCAAAGAGATGCCCAGGGCAGGGGGAGGCCTGAGGCAGCAGGATGAATTCCCTCTCAAGCCTGCTGCCCCCTCTCCAAGGAGTTCAGCTCTGTGCAAAGTCCCAAGCTGAACATCCCATGAGCCTGCTAATCCCCAAACGTTTGAAGAATAGAAAATTACTCACGGTGTCTCTGAAAGCAAACCAAATCCAGGGGGCCTGCCCTCCCCAAAGGTTAATTACAGATTTAATTAAAATGGGTCTGCATTTTTGGAAGAAAATCCATGTGTTAAGGCCACTTGCTTGGGCCCTAATGGTTATTTATAGCTTTCGGTTGTGCTGAAAGGCTTTCAGGGTAAATATAGTGTCCATTCTGATGTCCAGAAACACATGCTGGCTGGGTCTGATTTCAGAGTGCTTGCCAGGACTTTTAAAGCTCTCCTGACTATTAGAGGTTTCCTCTGCAGTTTGAGGCTGAGCATGAGGGATCAGGACCTGGGATATTCGGGACAAATGCTCTTGCCCTCACTTAAACACTTATGATCAGGTAGTTCACATGCATGTGGCAGCCAGCTGTCTGGCCTTCCCTTTCTAATCAGGGATGAAAAGCATAACACACTTAAAAACTGTTAAGTAGAATGCAGCCCTCTTGCAGAGTGAGCCCCCCAACCCCACACAAAGTCCTCGGTCTCCGGCGATGTTGACAGGGACCTGGACCCTGGATGTGAAGGTTGTCATGTGTTTTAGCTGTCCTCAGACTTACTGTCAGTGGTTTTCTAATGAATTTTTTTTTTTTTGGAGACAGAGTGTCACTATGTCACCCTTGGTAGAGTGCTGTAGCTGTCATAGCTCACAGCAACCTCAAACTCTTGGGCTGAAGTGATTCTCTTGCCTCAGCCTCCCAAGTAGCTGGGACTACAGGCGCCTGCCACAACGCCTGGCTGTTTGTTGTTGCAGTTGTCATTGTTGTTTAGCCCGGGCTGGGTTAGAGCCCGCCAGCCTCAGTGTATGTGGCTGACAACGTAACGACTGTGCTACGGGCATCTAATGAGCCAGTCCTACAAGATGCTTCCTGATCCACCCAAGACTCCCTTGATCTTGTGGTTTGGAAGCACAGTCTTCTGTCTATCTTGATACTTGGACAAATGGCTCTGCAAGTCCAAAAATGCTTGGAGCCCCCAGCCTACAAATTCCTCCAAAGTTGGTTGAATATACACTAGGCAGCTTCGTACACAACAGCTCTGGTGATGAGGAAGAGTCAGGGCAGCACAGTGAGTTCTCTGGCAAGAAATTATGTTTGGATTTGGACAAAGTTCCAGGAAAGCTTTAGCTGCACCACTGAAAGCTCAGATCCACTAAGGGACTTGAGGGCTTACTTGTCTTTCAGTTTAATTGCCATAGAGCAGACAGGGTATATTCCAACCAAAAGCATGCTCTGCAGTCTACAAAGCTCCGAATACCTGTCTGCTTTGCTATCCTACTTAGGAAGGAGTCCTGGAGTTTTGCCTTTCTATGAAATCGTGGTATTTTCTAATCTGAGGATTGCGAATTAAGACTGCCCAGTACAAGGGGCGGCACCTGTGGCTCAAAGGTGTAGAGCGCCAACCCCATATGCCAGAGGTGGCGGGTTCAAACCCAGCCCAGACCAAAAACTACAAAAAAAAAAAAAAGAAAGAAAGAAAGAAAGACTGCCCAGTACGAATGCATATATGCAGTTGCAGATCACCCAGGGAACATGTAGATCAGAACTGGTCCCGCCCCAGGAGCACCTTGGAGGCTCTTCAATCACCTCCGTCCAAAGCTGCAGCCCTACCCAGCTTCAAAGTGCAGGCCATGATGCCTGAGCACTTATAGTCCATCTCTGATCACAGAAAAGTGGTCCCTCAGTGGCTTCCTTCCAGCAGTTACAACTCTTTTACTTCTCCCCATAACACGCCCAAGGTCCAGCCCTATAGCAGCCTCCCCTAGGGAGGGAGAAGGGGAGGAGAGGATTTGCCCCCCACTCTGTCCTCCAGGAAGGCAGGGGGTTGGGTTTGGAGTCTGATCACCTGTGTCTGAATCTCAGTTCTGCTTCTGTCTTGCATGTGGCCTCAGGCACACACATGCCCTCTGAATCTCACAGTCATCAAATGGAAGTGGGGATACCAATGCTATGACATCCCTTGCATTCTTTTTGGCAATTTGTTTCCCAGTCTGTGTTGGTTCTGCGCACTGCCTTCCCTCAGAGCAAATCAAGACCCATTCTTGAGGACAATGGACAGGTTTGGGGGAAGAAATGGTTCATAGTTTCGGAGGATATTCCTATGGAATATAGAAAAATGACATCTCTATACCACCCCCTGCAGGTTCATAGGTGAAGGATGCAAGGGGAGATGAAGTAATGTGTGTGCATATGGTTGGGTCAATGTCATCCCTGGCCCCATCCCCTCCCGCAGGTTCTCTAGGCTGAAATGCAGGTCCTGGGAACTTGGTGTCTCCATCCCAGCCAGGACCAGCCCTTGTTTTGCTGCACTAAATGGCCTCAGCTGCTCATCTCTCTTTAGAAGGGTGGGAGCTCAGGGCAGCACTCATGCTTAGGAGCTGGGGCTGCTGTAGAAGGGAAGTGAGGGTAGGACAGGATGGTGGGTTGTCAGACTAGCTGGACATCTGAAAAAATTGCCTGGAATATTATGCAGCCTTGGTAAAGAGGGAAATTCTGACACACTACAACGTGGATGAAACTTGAGGTCAATGTGCTGAGTGAAATAAACCAGTTACATAAACACAAATACTGTACAATTAATTCCACTGGTACCATAGAAAGTAGAATGAGGGTTGCCAGGGACTGGGGTGGGGGAGGAAGAGGAGTTTGTATGAAACGGAAAATTCGAACAGAGCTTCGGTTTATAAGATGAGAAGAGTTTTCTAGATGGATGGGAGTGACAGTTACGTAATAGTGTGAATGTAGTTAATGTTACCGAACTGGTTTAAAATGGTCCAGAAGATGATGTTATGTTTGTGTTTCACCACAACAAAAAGATTGGGAAAAATGGTCTGACTTCCTTGAAGAGATAATCCCAGTGTCAGACAGTGCCATTCACGTGAAATTTTGAAATATACAAGACAATACCATGTGCAGTTGATGGGTAGGTAGACATCTAGTATCTGTGTTCAGCTTTGCATACGAATGGCACGTACACACATCCCCGGAGGGTGGGTACTTCTTGGGCGAGAACAAGGAGGGAGGAGTGAGGAAGGGATGTGAAGCGTTAGTTGTAGCTCTTGTGCTTTCTTTCTTATGAGAAAGAGAGATGTGTGCCAACTGTAATAAAGCACTTCTATGACAGCTACATTAGGTTTCATCATTTTATATATGTTAAAACTTTTCATAAATAAAAAGAGAAAATAATCAAACAAAGATAGAAGCAGATGGATCTGTCTAACATTCTTACTAATTTCTTTGGCCTACCCAAATGGTGTTGTTTTCAAATTGCCTTTTTTTTCCCCTCCACATTTTTTTTTTTTTTGCAGTTTTTGGCCAGGGCTGGGTTTGAACCCATCACGTCTGGCATATGGGGCTGGCGCCCTACTCCTTTGAGCCACAAGCGCTGCCCCTCCTCCACATTTTCATCATGCAAAAGATGTCATTTTTCTGATTCGTGGAAAAACTCAAGACATGCAAGTTCTTCAAACCTGACCTTTACTTATTTTTTGTTATTTCAGCTTCATATGAGGGTAAGGTGATGAAATTACATTGTTTGAGTTTGTTAGAGTCCAAGCAGTAGCTCACCTAGGAGGTGAGCCACATACGCTGACATTGTGCCTGTTAGGTGAGAGCACCCGTGTCCCCTTCCCTCCTCCCTCCCTCCTCCCTC